TTAAGGTAAACTAAAATATTCACAATCAATTAGTATGTCACATATGCACTTATTAAATAAGCTAATATTGACTATAAGCAAGTGCGAGAACGGGTTGTTCAAGACACAACTTTTCTGAAATATAAATTAATATTATTATATATTAGAATATAGTGCATATTTAGGCACTGGTTAGCTTAGGTGTTTAGGTTCTGTTGGCGATTATTTGTATTTGTAGTACGTGGGTTAATAATTAATTTATATTTCAGAAAATTCCCGTTCTGAATGAACAGCATGTTAACACTAAATGAATGCGTCTGTGGGGTCGACCGCTGGATGGAATGGACTTGAGTCGAGGACGGGTTGCGTAAAGGTGACTTCTATCCGGTCAGGTGACTTGCCGGATAGAAGGACCAACTTGGTCAGCGAGGAAGATGGCGGCTGGTTACTTTGAGGTGCTTCCGGGGCTCAGTGTCCCCGCGGCCCGGTCGTCGACCAGGCCTCCTGGTTGCTGGACTGATCAACCAGGCTGTTGGACGCGGCTGCTCGCAGCCTGACGTATGAGTCACAGCCCGGTTGATCAGGTATCCTTTGGAGGTGCTTATCGAGTTCTCTCTTGAACACTGTGAGGGGTCTGCCAGTTATGTCCCTTATGTGTAGTGGAAGCGTGTTTGGCTGTGGAAGCTTCCTTACACATCCTCAGCCGTAGGAAGGTATGGAAGACAGGAGGGTCGTGAGTCATTACCTCAGACGACCCACAGCCAGAGGACGGAGACCAGGAGCTGGAACTCATCCCCAACACAGCTGGATAAGAACAGCCACCCATAGGTAAGACACACACACACACGCTCGCAAGAAAACACCACTCGATCCACCAATTAGAAGCAAAGTATTGACCATCAGTCAATAAAGAGGAGCATTAACACCGAGGTCAATATTGACAGATAATTCCTCGGATTTAGAGTCTGTAAAAGAGTGTAAAAATGTTAGATAAATTAAGCTTAATTACACCTGATTCTCAACCCTCGCCCACGCGGAGGAGTTAACAACATGACAAGGAAAAATGTGGTTAAATTTTTGTGCTAACTGACTATACGACGGAAGGTTTAACTGGCTAGTTGCACACTGTACAGTTACTAATGATATCCGGAACTGTGTCAGTCAATGCAATTACTATTATTTTCAACGAGGACAGTCACAAAAGTGAGGCGCGTGTTTAACGAGCACTCTGCCAGGTTGTAACGACATGTCCTCCTCCTCCTCCCCCTGCGCCTCTGGCAGGTGAAAAGCTACACAGGGAGGCCTCTCAAGCGTGGTTAATCGCTATCCAAGCACCAGAAATGGTGCTCCTGCTTTCACGCGGGTACAATGGCATCTTCGGGCCAATTAGAATCGCGCGTGGAGTGTTTATCCGCGCGTGATTGGCCAGCCCAGCGGGTGTGGATGAGAGGGGTGACTTTTCAAGCCCAGAAGACAGGGTTAGGCTCGACCCCGGGCTGATTGGGCCCGCAGCCTACACTAATACCTTGTGTGTGTGTGTGTCCTACACTCACACACTGTGTCATACACTCACACACTGTGTCCTACACTCACACACTGTGTCCTACACTCACACACACTGTGTCCCACACTCACACACTGTGTCCTATACTCACACACTCTGTGTCCCACACTTAGGAGTAACACTACATTATTTCATTGCTAAAACTCCTCTTCCCTGGGAACTACGCCATGTTTCATATGGATATTTCAAACCTACTGGAAGATTGCTTTTTATATATATAATCACACACAACGCACTTACAACAATTAAAGAGTCCGAAACGCTTTGCGTAATAGTGGCTTGAGGCATTGTATGTACTGGCTCTATCTATAAATCCATCAACTTTGGTATTTCACCTTGTATGTATGTACTTTACCTGAATATATATTTGTATTCGAGAGTATCAAAACACTAACATGGTTCTGGCAAAGGTTCCTCATCCAAAACTGTTGTAACATATCACCTCACCCAAATGCAGGTATAAAATCGAAGCTGTTTAAACTCTGTTTAGTTATAGTTGTGTGTGTGTAAACTAAAGTCTTTGAAAATGTAATAAGTTACAACAAAATGAGAGAAGTTGTTGTTGTTTAAGATTCGCTACCTGGAAAAAAAAGTTCCAGGTAGCACGGGCTATGGTGAGCCCGGAGTGGAAGATGGACAGCTTGCGTGTTCCTCAACTGTACTGTCCAACACAAGGGCCAATTATAGTTAGCGTCAGGATATAGACTGTGATAAACCGGCAAACGGGTCTGAAAAAATGGCCGCTAGAATTTAACCCGGCCATTTGCAAAGTTATGAGCACTGGAAAAGGAATTAAAAAAAAGACCTGGGGCTAGATTCACGAAGCAGTTACGCAAGCACTTACGAACTTGTACATCTTTTTTCAATCTTTGGCGGCTTTGTTTACAATTATTAACCAGTTAATGAGCTCCGAAGCACCAGGAGGCTGTTTATAACAATGAGTTAAAATAGTAGGAACACACACAACAGCCTACCTGTAACGATTCGAGAACTGGCGAAAATTAGAACTTCATTCAGAAACCTAAATGAGGAAGCTTTTAGGGCGCTTTACACTGCCTACGTGAGACCCGTCTTAGAGTATGCCGCGCCATCATGGAGCCCCCACCTGAAGAAACACATAAAGAAACTGGAGAAGGTTCAGAGGTTTGCGACGAGGCTTGTCCCAGAGCTACGAGGGATGGGATATAAAGAGCGGCTGAAGGAACTGAACCTTACGACACTAGAGAAAAGAAGGGAGAGAGGAGATATGATAGGGACATATAAAATACTCAGGGGAATTGACAAAGTGGAAATAGATCAAATGTTCACACGTAATAATAACAGAACGAGGGGACATGGGTGGAAACTGGAAACTCATATGAGTCACAGAGATGTTAGGAAGTTTTCTTTTAGCGTGAGAGTAGTAGAAAAATGGAATGCACTTGGGGAACAGGTTGTGGAAGCAAATACTATTCATACTTTTAAAACTAGGTATGATAGGGAAATGGGACAGGAGTCATTGCTGTAAACAACCGATAGCTAGAAAGGCGGGATCCAAGAGTCAATGCTCGATCCTGCAAGCACATATAGGTGAGTACATATAGGTGAGTACACACACACACACACACACACACACACACAAACACACACACACACACACACACACACACACACACACACACACACACACACACACACACACACACACACACACACACACACACACACACACACACACAACCCCCTTACTTCCTTCTCCTATTCCCCTCTGTAGCTTTTTTTTTGGCTTTTATGCACGAGGCTTTGTGTTTGCTTGTGTGTGTGCTTGCCTGCATGTGCTTGTAGGACGGGTATCGATCCCTGATCCACGTCTCTGAGTGGTTAGTCCCCTCTATTGTGTCCCCTCGCCTTGGTCCTCTCTTATTGTGTCCCCTCGCCCTTGTCCCACCTCCTGTGTCCCCTCACCGTCGTCCCACCCCCTGTGTCCCCTCACCCTCGTCCCACCCCCTGTGTCCCCTCACCCTCGTCCCACCCCCTGTGTCCCCTCACCCTCGTCCCACCCCCTGTGTCCCCTCATCCTCGTCCCACCCCCCTGTGTCCCCTCACCCTCGTCCCACCCCCTGTGTCCCCTCACCCTCGTCCCACCCCCTGTGTCCCCTCACCCTCGTCCCACCCCCTGTGTCCCTCACCCTCGTCCCACCCCCTGTGTCCCCTCACCCTCGTCCCACCCCCCTGTGTCCCCTCATCCTCGTCCCACCCCCCTGTGTCCCCTCACCCTCGTCCCACCCCCTGTGTCCCCTCACCCTCGTCCCACCCCCTGTGTCCCCTTACCCTCGTCCCACCTCTACGGAACTGTTTGTTATTCTCTGCCAAGTCGATGTTCTTCAATAACTTTCATGTTGTGACCATGTTTCCTTAAGAGTCGTGTTAACCCACTTGGACTGGTCGGTACAGGGATGGCCTCGCCTCTTGCAGCTTGGCGTTCGATACCCGATAGTCCCAAGTGGTATAAGCATCGCTGCTTCGCTCTATCCTCCTAGCCTAGCAAAATAAAATGTGCTATATAGTCATAGCGGCTTACGCTTCCCCCTCATATTCTGCCTTTGTTTTGTGCTCTTCTTGAGCTAAAGTTGTTGTTGTTATAGATTCAGCTACTCGGAACAAGTTCCAAGTAGCACGGGCTATGGTGAGCCCGTAGTTTCGCTAAAGACTTGACTCTACTACCTCGCCCTTAGTGATGCTCATTTGTTTCAGGGATTAGTCTGGTGAGAAACGCGGATAGGTCTTGAGGGTCGGTGTTGGCTTCAAGCTCTGGTTGTACACTTCGCTTCGTATGCTGGGGGATGGTTTCTTGCCTTATTCCTGTTTGTAGGGAGAAAGTGGGAAGGGTGCACGTGTGTGTAGGTGGGACAGGGCCGTGCGCCAGGGTGTGGGACGGGGCCGTGCGCCAGGGTGTGGAACAGGGCCGTGCGCCAGGGTGTGGAACAGGGCCGTGCGCCAGGGTGTGGAACAGGGCCGTGCGCCAGGGTGTGGAACAGGGCCGTGCGTGTTCCAGGAACATGGCACACCTTAGGTGTGGCGGACTGGCCGACCAGTGATGCAGTCTATTGTGTTTTGCACAGAATGAAACCGTCCAATTGATGCATGTTTACTGCCTCGTAGTTCAGTCCCCTCAGGTACGACCCCTTCCCCCCCCCCCTCTCTCTCGTACCCCCGCCCCTCCCTCTCTCGTACCCCCGCCCCTCCCTCTCTCGTACCCCCGCCCCTCCCCTCTCTCGTACTTGTACGAGAGAGTCCAAAGGTCAGGAGACGAGAGAATGACTGCTGGCTCCTAATGTATACAAGGGAGGTACAGGGAGACTGCAGGTATGTGTGTGCATGGAAGGGAGCCCATATGCAAAATAAAATAACAATATATTGGAGCGAACAATATGCTAGGGTGTGCAGAGCGGAGCCAGTGATACAGGCACAATCAGAGATGGAGGCAGTGATACAGGCACAATCAGAGATGGAGGCAGTGACACAGGCACAATCAGAGATGGAGGCAGTGATACAGGAACAATCAGAGATGGAGGCAGTGACACAGGCACAATCAGAGATGGAGGCAGTGACACAGGTGCAATCAGAGATGGAGGCAGTGACACAGGTGCAATCAGAGATGGAGGCAGTGACACAGGTACAATCAGAGATGGAGGCAGTGACACAGGCACAATCAGAGATGGAGGCAGTGACACAGGCACAATCAGAGATGGAGGCATTGATACAGGCACAATCAGAGATGGAGGCAGTGACACAGGCACAATCAGAGACACAGCCAGTGACACAGGAACAATCAGAGACACAACCAGTGACACAGGAACAATCAGAGACACAGCCAGTGACACAGGGACAATCAGAGACACAACCAGTGACACAGGAACAATCAGAGACACAACCAGTGACACAGGAACAATCAGAGACACAACCAGTGACACAGGAACAATCAGAGACACAACCAGTGACACAGGAACAATCAGAGACACAACCAGTGACACAGGAACAATCAGAGACACAACCAGTGACACAGGAACAATCAGAGACACAGCCAGTGACACAGGAACAATCAGACACAACCAGTGACACAGGCACAATCAGAGACACAGCCAGTGACACAGGGACAATCAGAGACACAGCCAGTGACACAGGAACAATCAGAGACACAGCCAGTGACACAGGAACAATCAGAGACACAGCCAGTGACACAGGAACAATCAGAGACACAATCAGTGACACAGGAACAATCAGAGACACAGCCAGTGACACAGGAACAATCAGAGACACAGCCAGTGACACAGGAACAATCAGAGACACAGCCAGTGACACAGGAACAATCAGAGACACAACCAGTGACACAGGCACAATCAGAGAACACAGCCAGTGACACAGGAACAATCAGAGACACAGCCAGTGACACAGGCACAATCAGAGAACACAGCCAGTGACACAGGAACAATCAGAGACACAACCAGTGACACAGGAACAATCAGAGACACAACCAGTGACACAGGAACAATCAGAGACACAGCCAGTGACACAGGAACAATCAGAGACACAACCAGTGACACAGGTACAATCAGAGACACAACCAGTGACACAGGAACAATCAGAGACACAACCAGTGACACAGGAACAATCAGAGACACAGCCAGTGACACAGGTACAATCAGAGACACAGGAACAATCAGAGAACAGAGTATGAACATCAGAGGTCCACGCGGCTCTTCAACACCCTCCCAACAAACAAGATAATTATCGCAGGGACCAAAGTGGACGCGTCAACGACACAATTAGGCAAGTTCCTACAGTAAGTGTCGCCCCAACAGCCTGAGGGCTGCTGGGAGCAACAGCCTGACCGATCAATTCATCACAAGCCTGGCCTCAGGTCGGGCTCGAGGAGCTAAACTCACGCTACCTTTTCTACAGATAAGCTACAGAACTCCCCCCACCCTCTCTCACGCCCCCCGTCGCCCCCTGACGCCCCCTTACGCCCCCTCTCGCCCCCTCTCGCCCCCCTCTCGCCCCCCAACTTGACAGGTGTGTCAAGTGCGTTGAATATTTGTGAAAGGACGCGATGAAAATTTTAAAAAGAAATTTGCAAGGGATTGTCAGACTAAGAAGAGAGGGGGAGGGAGGGAGGGGAGGAGACGGGAAAAGGAGAGAGGGGATGAACAAGGATGAATGAGAGAGAAGGAGAGGAGAGGAGGAGCATGAGAAGTAGAGGGAAGAGTGAGGGAGGAGGAGGAGGAGGAGGAAGGGAGACAGTGAGGGGGAAGAGGAGAGGGGGAGAGGCAGGGTATTGTTGACTCTTCCACTGAGTTGTGTGTTAGGTGAGAGATGAGAGAAAGGGAGAGATGAGAGAAAGGGGGAGGTGGGGGGAGGTGTGAAGCTGTTTGTCTGATTCACTGTCTTCCCCCCCTCCCCTCTCTGTGTCTCTCTGTGTCTCTCTGTCCGTCTGTCTATCTGTCTGTCTGTCTGTCTGTCTGTCTGCAAGTGAATGGAACTAAGAAAAGGTGGAAAGTGACTGGGAACTATGTATGAAGCAGTGGAAAATAACTAACTAGTCAAGAAGTGGCGACTAGTGACTGGAATTAGCAAGGAGGTGACATAGAGACCCAAGAAGTGACATAGAGACCCCAAGATGTGACACAGAGACCCCAAGAAGTGACACAGAGACCCAAGAGGTAACACAGAGACCCAGGACGTGACACAGAGATCCAAGACGTGACATAGAGACCCAGTAGGTGGTACAGAGA